CATCTTCTTCTTGTCTCAAATTTCTTTTGGGAAAGAGGGAGAAACTTGAGTTGTTAGAAAAGTTTCAGCAGTAATGCAAATTCAACTGCAATGGACCATTGTAATCAAGAAGGGTGTTAGCATGAATCGAACAATTGCAATAATTTTCTGGTCATTAGCTGAAAATTAATGGAAGTAAGTGAGTTGAAGGAAGAACTTTGATATTACATCAATTGATAGTGAAAGTGAATGTCACTCAGTTGTGTCAGACTCTTTGCAACCCCATGGACTGACTGTATGTAGCCTGTCAGGCTCCTCTGTCCATGGAATTCTCCAGGCCAGAATACTGGACTGGGTAGCTGTTCCCTTCTCCAGGGAATCTTCCCAACCCAGGGCTCCTGCATTGCAGGTGGATTTTCTACCAGCTGAGCTACCAGGGAAGCCCATTCCATCAGATACGTTTTAAAAGCTATATGATGATACATGAGTTGAAGTATAGGGCTTTTTTGGTGAATGACTAAACAACAATGCATAAAAAGGCAAAACCCACCAATTATAGACCTTAGATATGTTTCTCATGGCAAAATCTACTATGATTTTTACCAGCTATTCATTTGGACCTAACTGAATTTATTTGCACATGTATCAGCCTGTGTAAGAGTCCGCTTTTGACAGCAAAAGTCTGACACAACTTTATTTATTTTAACTTCAGTCTTTCAGTCAAATGCCAGGAGAGATCTTCTTCTAAGGCCTTTGTTTTATCAATCTGGGTGGCTAGCTTTGATTTGGCTTTGTCATCTTGCTGGGGAACTCACAGGTAAATCTCATTAAGAGTTTTGCTGATGTTAATTTATAGATCAGCAAGTTTGGAGGATTGTTTTTAACGTATTCAGTTTATTTTGGAGCCTTGCATCATTTCTGCCTCTCTGCAGTTAGGTCCATTTTACAGCCAACCAGAAAGACAGTATTGAAGTAATTGTTCGTAAAATGATGATCTTCTATCTGTGTTGTCTCCTTGGCACTCTTGCCTGAAGAATCTATCTATGGCCTTCACTCTTTGCTTCATTCTGGATGTACAGAGACTTGTTAGAGGTGTCCTAACAGGTGGCTGGAGTGTCCAGCTCCATTTCAGGGGCGGGGCATCACGCTGACCTCTGCTTTCCTTCAAACACAGTGACTAATTTGCTAGAGTGTGAGGTAAAATTCAATAAATGAATCCAAAGTCCCCAGGCAGCTTGGGGTTTGGAAATTCTTGGACTCCTTTGGAGCAGGTTGGTGATTTCTCCTTACCACTAGATGTCCCTGTGTGGCTTTTCTTTTGGACACCAGAGCTGAACCGGACGTCAGTTACCTCTGCTCTGCTGGGTGGAAGGAAAGTGCATCGCAATCTCTGAAGAGGCTGTTTATCGTGGAATATCATCCAAGCTGGGCTTCCATGGTGGCTCACGTGGTAAAGAATCTGCCTGCAATGTGGGAGACCCGTGTTCAGTACCTGGGTTGGGAAGATCCCCTGGAGAAGGGAATGGCAACCCACTCTAGTATTCTTGCCTGGAGAATTTCATGGACAGAGGAGCCTGGCAGGCTACAGTCCTTGGAGTTGCAAAGAGTTGACACGACTGAAGTGACTTAACACACATACATTATCCAAGCTGGGACCAGGTACATCTTAGCCCTAGTACACTCATTCAAGTCTATGGGCATGACGAAGATGGAGAGTTATCTGAATCTGCACGGAAATCAGGACTATATCCACAGAGGTCCCAGTTCTTTACAACTTGCATTCATTACAATTTCCCTGCCTCCCAGTGCCCTTTTGGTAACCTAGACCAAAGCTTTAAAAACTATCATGGAGAACTGGTTTAAAAAAATTTTTTTTTTCAATTCTGCTCTCTTGTAGACCAACACACAGTCTTACTGTGCTTGACATCACAGGTAACTCACTTGGTGAGTTTGGTAACAACCAAAGTGAGTGTTCCCTGTCCAATGAAATGACTGATAATATACTTAGATGTGATGTTGCACAGCAATGTCAGCTGACTGTACAAGGTTTTGTTTTAAAAACATTCTCTTGATTTCTGTATTTCTTTTGTCCTTGACTGGTAACAGCCTGCAGACCACTGCTGATACGAGGATCATGCTTTGCGTGGCACTGGACAAGATGTCATCATAAGGCTTAGTTCTACATCCTTGAATGAAAACTAATGGGCAGTGGGGAACTGGAGCAGCTCAAGGCAGCTTTAGATTACTTGAATAGAGACTTAACGCAATGTGCTGAAAGAAGTGGTCTCTGTCCTTCTGCCCAAGGTCAGGCCTGGATCTTCCACTGAGCTACTGCACTGAATCTCAGATTAGCGCAACATTAAACAAAAAAACTGGGCTTCCCTAGTGACTCAGATGGTCAAGAATCTTCCTGCAATGCAGGAGACCAGGGTTTGATCCCTGGGTTGGGAAGATGCTCTGGAGAAGGGAATGGCTACCCACTCCAACTAACACTTTCACTTCAAACAAAATGCAATGGGTGATCCCCAGAGACCACAGCAGCAAAAAGGAAATGAAAGTTTTTGCAACTTCTGAACCTGTTATCAAGTCCAAACAGTTCTGTAAGGCACACAGCCGGCCAGTAAATCTAGAGATGAGCTGTTGGGGCAAGGAATAGCGACTTGATTCAGAAAGCAGGCAGATCTGTGTCCCAAAGAACCATCTTGCCTGAATTAGAATTCAGACTTCTTCTATACTAAAAGGGGAAAAAGTAAAGTCAAACATTTCCTGCTTCTGGTCAGTCTCCAGAGAGGATGTGTTAATTTCTTCCTTCCTGTATTCATTCCCAAGTAGGCCTGGTCAGGATGTTTGCTGTGAGCAAAAGGTATAATATAATGCTCCTTACCTGGGAGGCAGTGTTCCCAGAGGTGGACCATTGTGCATAATTTAAACTTACAGGCACCATGACTCTAGTGATCAATGTGTAACAGAACACAAAGGTTCTTCTTTATTACAAACTTTTTTGCAGAAATTAAGTGAATCTTGTCTGCTCTGTACTTTAAAAGAGAAACAAAGGTGGTGAAGGATGGTAAATACCATGTACCTGGATTTATTTTAATAATTAGCCATAGCGACACCTAGCTGGTCAATCGTCTGCTGCTTTATGCTGCAACCAGGTCTAATTACAGAGATAGTGGAAGAATTTTAACTTCACAAACTGAAAAGAAATTGTTTGTTTACTCAACACACCAACAGTTTGTGCTCCAACCATCATTTATTAAGCCAGTTATTTGTAATGTAAGAGCACAATTTGCTTTAAAAACAATGTTGAGAATGGTAGTTAATTTTCCTGTTCACTCACAGAAAACCATTTAAACCAGGCAGTAATTGAATTAAATAAACACTATTTCTCTCTTTGTTATGATTCCATGGGTCAAGTTAAGCAGCAGAGAACATTGTTATAAGTGTTTGAGATCCCAGTTCCAAATTTTGCTAGAAGAGGTTTCTCTTCTTTTTAAGGATGCCCTGTGGAGAAACAGGATTTGTATAGACTTCCTTGGTCTGGTGGGGATGGACAACAAGATCACATGAGTCCCTCATAGCAGTAGCTAGCAAAGAAGCAGGATGAAGTGTTCTATTAACTATTTATTTAAAGATTGAAGTATGAAACCATGTTTCATGAGCAGTTTTGGGACCTTTGTGCAGGGGTGGCTGGGGGTCAGGCATGTGACCTCTTTGGAGAAGGAAAAGTCACATGATGGGATATAAAAGCACTGAATCAAATGTTATCAACTGGAAGACTAGGATGAAGCCACACAAATGAAAAAGGAAGATGAGAGACGTGTTTATATGAGAAGAGAGTTGAAGGACAGTATATGTAGTTTTGTCAGCAGGGGAATGAAATTCCACAGATGAAGGCTTATTTTCACATATTCCCATTTTGGGGACTAAAGCCCCTCAAGAGAGGCCCTAAATATATCCTTCCAGAAAGATGACTCTAGTGTGGACCAACATCTTTACTGTCTCTGATGGGTAATATAATAGAGGTGGGAGACATGCAATTTTCATGGAACCAAAAGCTTATGCAATTTGTTGGCACTTTAGGGGGGAAAAAAAGCAAACTTAAAAATATAAAATTAGGTATAAAATATATATTTATTTAGATAAGAAGATAAATAAAAACAATATATTTATTTTAAAAAGCTAACAACTAGATGTCCATCAATAGATGAATAGATAACAACGCTGTGGTATATAGGTATACATATATATATATACAGTGAAATATCACTCAGTCATAAAAAGGAATGAATTTGGTCAGTTGTAGTGAGGTGGATGAATGTAGAGCCTGTTATACAGAGTAAGTTGTTATACAGAAGTTGTATAACAAGTTGTATAAGTTGTTATACAGAAGTAAGTTGGAAAAAACAAAAATCGTATAATTAACACATATATGTGGAATCTAGAAAAATGGTACCAGTGAAGCTATTTGCAGGGTAAGAAGAGATGCAGACAGAAAGAACAGACTTGTGGGTCATTTTAAGGTGAGCAGGAAGCGGCCCAGAGGTGGCCTGAGGAGCAAGGGACGGAGTCAGGAGCCACGCGGTGCTGACCCGAGCCCCACACGGCCGCCGCCGCCGCAGCACCTCCCATGTGGAAGCCCTTTGTGGTGGACACCGGCTGCCCAGGACGAGGGTTTCATCGCCTTAAACGGTTTTGAACCAATGAAGCTGGACTCTCTTAAAAAAGACAGACAGCCCATCGTGTCAACTACAGAGTTTGTGGACAAATTTATGTTGGGCGCGTAGTGGCCTAATGCCTGCAGATTCCTGCAAGCGCCCCTAAGTTCTTCGAGGACCGCTTTGCCTTTTGAATCAGAGAGGTGCAAAGCTCGCTAAAGAATGACCCTTGTGGATAAACACAAAGTCAAGCGACAGTGATTGAACAGAATTTACGAAGGTATATGCCCCCAGATCATGAACGGCCCCCTGCTCCCCGCCCGCTGGTGGCGCTTCTGGCCGGCAGAGAGTGCACCGGTGGAGATGCCCATCCTGAAGGACCTGGCCACTGTGGCCTTCTGCGACGCACAGTTCACTCAGGAGATCCACGAGAAGGTTTTAAACGAGCCGGTCGGCGCCATGATGTACCACACCATCACGCTCACCAGGGAGGACCCGGAGAAGTTCAAGGACCGGAGAGTGATTGTGCGGATAGGCAGCGGCTACGACAACGTCAACGTCAAGGCTGCGGGTGAACTCCGGATCGCAACATCCTGTACGCAGCAGCGGAAGAGACAGTGGACTCAGCCGTCTGCCACACCCTTAATCTGTCCGGGCGGAACACCTGGCTATCCCAGGCGTTGCGTGAAGGCACGCGGGTGCAGAGCGTCGAGCAGATCTGGGAGGTTGCCTCGGGCGTGGGGGCAGGGGACGCACATCCGCGGGGAGACACTGGGCCTCATTGGCTTCGGTTCACAATGGGCCAGGCAGTTGCGCTTCGAGCCAAGGCCTTTGCATTCAGCGTCCTATTTTATAACCCCTACTTGCAGGATGGGGTGGAGCGGTCCCTGGGCGTGTAGTCTATACCCTGCAGGACTTATTGTTCCAGAGCTACTGTGTCTCCTTGCACTGCAATCCCAACGAACATAACCACCACCTCATCAGTGACTTCACTATAAAGAAGATGAGGCAAGGCGCCTTCCTAGTGAACGCAGCCAGCGGCAGACTGGTGGATGAGAAAGCCTTAGCCCAAGCCCTCATAGAAGGCAGGATATGAGGGGCGGCCCTCAACGTGACGAGTCGGAGCCTTTCAGCTTTGCTCAAAGTCCCTTAAAAGATGCACCAAATCTCATCTGTACTCCCCACACAGCCTGATATAGTGAGCAAGCCTCACTGGAGATGAGGGAGGCGGCTGCCACTGAGATACGATGGGCTATCACAGGTCGCATCCCAGAGAGCTTAATAAACTGTGTGAACAAGGAACTCCGTCACAGCAGCTCCCTGGTCAGTAATAGATCAGCAAGCAATTCATCCAGAGCTGAATGGTGCCACATACAGTTACTCGCCAGGATTGGGGGCGTGGCTCTTGGAGGACTTCCTGCTGCCAAGGAAGGGATCAATCCCAGAGGTATCCTGGTGATCCACAGCCTCCCCACAGTGGCACATCCCTCCCAAGCTCCCTCTCCCAACCCGCCCACGAAATACGGGAACAATCGAGAGCACCCCAACAAGCAATAGCAGCAAGTGACGAAGGTAATCATTCAGATGCACCTGGGACCAAGACAGTGAAAAATAAATGAACTAAGAGAAAAGGAATTTGACAGTCTTTTTAACTGATTCTGGACATAGGCATCATTGATGTTGCAGCATTAACAACTACAAAAGAGCTAGAAGTCGAGATATGGGAAAACTGAAGATGTCTGCTTGCGGAAGCACTGAAAGAAACTAGGGTGTAATTTATTAACGACCAACTTCTGTTATTGTGTGTTAAGTTTTTCATCTGTGCATCAAATCACAAAGAATAAATAGATCTTTTTCCTTTATCAGTCCCTTGGGCACAAGAGGTCCTGTTCAGGACCTTGTTCTAGAATGCTGCATCAAGAGTTCCAAACATCAAAATAAAATATTAAGAGAATTAAAAAAAAAAATGAACAGACTTGTGGACACAGCAGGGGACAGAGAGGGTAGGACAAATTGTGAGAGTAGCATTGACATATATACACTACCAAGTGTAAAATAGATAGCTAGTGGGAAGTTGCTGTTTTACACAAGGATCTCAGCTCAGTGCTCTCTGACAACCTGGAGGGGTGGGATGCGGGGGTGGGAGGAAGACTCTAGGAGAGGAGAGTATTCTTATGGCTGATTCACACTGTTGTACGGCAGAAGCCAGCAAGACATTGTCAAACGATTATCTTCCAATTAAAAATAAATTTTTAAAAAGTGTATATGTTCATAGGTAAAAACTTTTTAAAGAAAAACTAACAAATAGAACCATACCTTGGAGATATTATGGGTCTGGTTCCAGGTCACTACAATAAAGGGTGTATTGCCATAAAGTGAGTCAAATGGATTTTGGTTTCCCAGTGCATACAAAAACTATGTTTACACTGTACTGTAGTCTATTAAGTGCGCCATACCATTATGTCTAAAAATGGACATCAGTTCAGTTCAGTCGCTCAGTCGTGTCCAACTCTTTGCAACCCCATGAACTGCAGCACGCCAGGCCTCCCTGTCCATCACCAACTCCTGGAGTTTACCCAAACTCATGTCCATTGAGTCAGTGATGCCATCCAGTCTTCTCATCCTCTGTCGTCCCCTTCTCCTTCTCCCAATCTCTCCCAGCATCAGGGTCTTTCCCAATGAGTCAACTCTTCGCATGAGGTGGCCAAAGTATTGGAGTTTCAGCTTTAGCATCAATCCTTCCAAGAACACCCAGGACTGATCTCCTTTAGGATAGACTGGCTGGATCTCCTTGCAGTCCAAGGGACTCTCAAGAGTCTTCTCCAACACCACAGTTCAAAAGCATCAATTTTTTGGAGCTCAGCTTTCTTCACAGTCCAACTCTCACATACATACATGACCACTGGAAAAACCATAGCCTTGACTAGATGGGCATTTGTTGGCAAAGTAATGTCTCTGCTTTTTAACATGCTATCTAAGTTGGTCATAACTTTCCTTCCAAGGAGTAAGCGTCTTTTAATTTCATGGCTGCAATCACTATCTGCAGTGATTTTGGAGCCCCCCCAAAAGTAGTCTGACACTGTTTCCATTGTATCCCCATGTATTTCCCATGAAGTGATGGGACCAGACACCATGATCTTAGTTTTCTGAATGTTGAGTTTTAAACCAACTTTTTCACTCTCCTCTTTCACTTTCATCAAGAGGCTTTTTAGTTCCTCTTCACTTTCTGCCATAAGGGTGGTGTCATCTGCATATCTGAGGTCACTGATAAAATGGGCATACCTTAATTTAAAAACACTTTATTGCTAAAAACTGTCAACCATTATCTGAACTTTCAGTGAGTAGTATTCTTTTTGTGACAGGAGGATCATGCCTCCATGTTGATGTCTGCTGGCTGATCAGGATGGCAATTGCTAAAGGGTGGGGTAGTGGTGATAAAGACATCAGTGAAGTTTGCTGCATCGATTGACTCTTCCTTTCTTGAATGATTTTCTGGTAGCATGCTATGCTGTTTGATAGCATTTTACCCACAGTACAACTTCTTTGCAAAGTAGAGTCCACCTCTCAAACATGCTGCTGCCTTATCGACTGAGTTTATGTCATCTTCCAGATCCTTTGTTGTCATTTCAACAATCTGCGCAATATCTTCACCAGTCTCCATCTCAATCAAGCACCTTCTTTCTACATCGTAAGAAGCAATCCCTCATCAGCTCAAGTTTCATCATGAGATTGCAGCAATTAAGTCCATCTTCAAGCTCTACATTTTTTTTTTTTTTGAGAGAAGACTCTCTTTTTATTTAACATTGCAGAGTTAGAAAATAAGAACCAGGCTGAGTAGGAAGATAGTGTGAATCATCAAATTGGATGTAACCTTAAAATTTTCATTTGGAAGACAGAAATGAGTTTTAAAGTGGCATGTGTTTATTGTATGTTGTACCAAAGTGAAAGATATATACATAGATAGATATATAGACCTTGATATAGATGTCACATTTTTTATCCCTTCATTTGTCAATGGATGTTTAGGTTGTTACCATGTCATGACTACTGTGAATAAGGCTACAATTTACATGGCCTACAGATATAATTTTATTTCCTTCAGACTTATACATGGAAATGAGATTGTTGGATAACATGGCAGTCCTGTTTTATTTTTTCTAAGAACCACTGTAATGTTTTCCATAGTGGCTGCACCAATTTAAATATCTACCAGTAGTGTGCAAGGGCCCCCTTTTCTCCATATCATCTACCTTTGTTATCTTTATTTTTATTATTACAGCCATCCTAGGGCTTCCCATGTGGCTCAGTGGTAAAGAGTCTGCCTGCCAATGCAGGAAAGCTGAGTTCAGTCCCTGGGTGGGAAAGATCCCCTGAAGAGGAAAACAGCAACCCACTCCAGTATTCTTGCCTGGAGAATTGTGTGAACAGAGGAGCCTGGCAGGCTACCATCCATGGTGTTGCAAAAGAGTTAGATATGACTCCGTGACTAGACAACAACAACACAGCCACCCTAACACGTGAGAAGTGATAAACTCATTGTGGTTTTGATTTGCATTTCCTTTTTTTTTTTTTTTTTACATTTCCTGATGATTAGTGATGTTGAACATCTTTTGTATACCTGTTTGTATATCTTCTTTGGAAAAATGTCTATTTAAGTCCTTGACCATTTTTAAATTGGATTATTTAGGGTTTTTTTTTTTTGGTAATTAACTTGTGTGAGTTCTTTACATATTTTGGAAATTAATCCCTTATCAGATATCTAATTCACAAATATTTTCTCTCACTCCATAGGCTGCCTCTTCACTCTCCCGATGGTTTCTTTTGCTGTGCAGAAGCTTTTTAGAAGGTAGTCTTGTCTATTTTGCTTTTGTGGCCTGTGCTTTTGGCATCATATATGAAAAATTATTGCCAAACCAATGTCAAGAAGCTTTTTCTCTATGTTTTCTCCTAGGAGTTGTGTGGTTTTGGGTCTTACATTTAAGGCTTTAATTCATTTTGAGTTGACTTTTGGGTATGGTATGAGATAGTGGTCCAATTTTCCCAATGCCACTTATTGAAGAGATTATCTTTTCCCCATCAATTATTCTTCACACCCTCATCAAAGATTAGTTGACCACTCTAGTTCTTTGACTATCTCTCTCTCTTTTTTTTGGCTGTGCTGGGTCTTCATTGCTGCATCCAGGCTTTCTCTAGTTGCAGTGAATGGAGACTACTCTCTAATTGTGGTGCATGGGCTTCTTATTGTGGTGGCTTCTCTTGTTGCAGAGCACAGGCTCTAGGGTTTGTTGGCTTCAGTAGTTGTTGTGTGTGGGCTCTGTAGTTGTGGCCCATGGGCTTAGTTGCCCTGTGGGTTTGATCCCTGAGTTGGAAAGATTCCCTGGAGCGGGGCAGGGCAACCCATCCCAGTATTATTGCCTGGAGAATCCCACGGACAAGGAGTCTGGTGGGCTATAGTCCATGGGGTCACAAAGAGTCGGACACGACTGAAGTGATGTGGCACGCATGCACTTTGTTCCAAGTGCTTTGCTATGCTCTGAGTATAAGAATAAACGAGAGGGACTTCTCTGTTGGTCCAGTGGCTAAGACTCCACAGTCCCAATGCAAGGGGCTCAGGTTCAATCCCTGGTCAGGGAACTAGATCCCATATGCCACAAGCAAGTATTTGTATGCTGCAACTAAGACCAGATGCAGCCAAATAAATAAAATAAATGTTAAAAAAAGAGAGAATGAAGGAGAAATTTGCCCTCTGGAGGAACTCAGAGAGCTCTTGTTTCCAGGTCTGGCTGCTAGAGAAGAGCAGAGCCACGGTGAGAACCCAGCTGTCGTGATTTCCATCTCAGTGCTTTTGCTGAAGTTTAGAAGTTTGCCCAGTACTGAAAGCAGAAAATGCTCCAGAGTGATGTAAGTAAATCAGTACCTCTAACTCACGGTAGGTTAATAAGGGCTTGGGTATTCTGGAACTCTTAAAA